TGATATGTCACTGCGAGTAATTACAAATCGTTCAGCGAGCGTCTTCGTTCGCGTTTGATGAATTAATATATTATATTAATTGGAACGGTAAAAACGATTACAAACAATAATAATAATAATAGCGATAGTAATAACATTTAATTTTTCTGTACACGAATGGTATTATAATTTATTTAATCACGAAACAATAATTATTACTTGTGAACGGTTATGCGAAGAAAAAAAAATGAGATTATAATGTGAACGGAGGTGTACGGGGAAAAACATCCAAGTCTGTAAACAATCAATTAAAATTAATCAAGTAGCACTTCATTTTCTCGTTTCATTAACAGCCTCAGCTCGTTGAAAATGTATCGATCTCGCGGAACGCACAAAAAGCATTATATCGGGAAAAAGTCCATTATTATTGGTAACACCCGAAAGTATACTATAATATAGTGTGCACACACACACACTAGCCGACACCAATAGGTACAATAATCGTGTCGGTTATTAATAAAAACCGACTGCATAAATAATTCATTACATGCAAATTGCTTTTCCGACGGGGTTTTACACCACCACGTTTACCAATCGGATTAACGATACTGCGTGGCGTGGCAAGGTTGATAATAATATCATTCTCGTTTTGCAAAAGGGCCCGTGCAGTCGGAATATTGAGTTACCGGGGCAGGTGAGTGGTATAATATGTATATGTACAGTGCATAAATGAAAGGATTTCCCGTGTAACTATATTATTTGTATTATTTACCTAAATTTTGTAGAAAGTATGCAAATCTTCATAGGCCGACAGACTACAGATACCTACACCGCAGAGTAGTTAGTAGTTACAATAAAATGTACACACAAAATAGGTGGTTTTCAATCCACATCCTTTCGAACGCAATAAACGTCTACATATATCTACGTCGTATCAATACTCAATAGTATGTTTTTTTAAACTCTGCGTCATAAATGATAATATATCATTCATTTATTTATCGTGTATTTATGAATATTTCGATCGAGATTTTACTACCATTCTTACAATTCATAATTTAATTTATACCAAATAAATCGTCGTTCGCTTTATTGTTTTTCGTTTAATTATTATAGCAAACAGCGTTATTGTAATATTTTTGGCAAGTAGTAATCATTATCAAACGTCTTTACTTATAAATTAAATTAAAAACTGTATTAAATTAAATTTTTGAAAAAAATGTCAATGCGACAAAGTATTTGATTTAATTTGAATTTTTCCGGATTAACAAAACATAATGAATTTATTTTAAAAACCGCGACAAAGAATAATGAAAGGAAACAACTGTTTCTGGTTCGGCCTATATATTATATTGTATTTTGTTTTTCAAAGAAATATTTTTTTATCCAATATCATTAAAGATGGTGGAAGACATAAGCGCCAAAACGAGATAAGGAAAAAATAAATCCCATCTTAGGAAAGTACCAAAATCCCAGATACCTCTGTGCTTCATTCCAGATATTAAATTTAGAACTACATATACATATATCAAACAAAAACGCCAAACATACAACCTTAATCGACAAATTCATTATCTGATTACGATAGAGCTTTTTTAGTTTTTGTGTTTATAATATTATGAGTTAGTTAATTTATTTAATATTATGATATTATAATAGGTTACGATATCGTTGGATAACTTTTTTAGCAACCATTTGCGTAAGCTATAGGTACCGAAGTATGACAATAAAATTCACAAAAAAATAATTACGAATAAAGGAGTTTTATGTATTTAGTTCATGAACAGACATAGATTTGTATGAAAAATATTTTTATAGATAGGTAATTGACAATTTTAAATACATAAAATACTTATTATGGAGCAAGTAAATATGCATTTTAATTTTTTTATTTCCTTGGCGCTTAGGTCATGTAGCATTAAAAGGGAAATGCATTAAAAATATTATATGGTGTACGTGTTTCTCTTGATGGGTGCATCTATTATTAGTTCGAATTCGTTCGATAATATTATACAAATACCTACTGAAATATATGCTGCCACTGTTATAATAAGTGGGTACTGCAGTCCGCAATGATCCAATATGTCAATATTAATAGCAAACGCATTATAATAATATTATATAGTTCACAACTATAATAATGGTAAGCACACTGTCTTATACACAATAAAACCAAAATCATTAACAAAACGATTTTGTTCGTCGCCCTCTATCACACACAGATATGTTATTATTTATATGTATCCACTTGAGACTATACTCAGCCCACGCCACAAGTTATTCGAAAAACGACATTAATAACCAATATGTGCCTCGGTATAGAAATTGCGAACGACTTGTTTGCGACGGGTTAGGGGAAACGCGTGCATGTGTGTACCTGTACTCGTATAGGGGTTCGTGGAAAGTTTTTATTGTTTGCCGAACAATCGATATGACTTGTGCATTGGTCTTCTTTTTCTTTTTCTTTTTCTTTCTCTAACCCACGCCCCCACCACAACCCCCCCCCCTCCCCCTAAAACCCATACTCACTCTCTCGCTATACGTGTGGCCGTGTGGGTACATTTTTTTCACCATAATTTCAAAAGCGTGCGCTCTATAATGCACGTCAATCCGAAATACTTCAGCACAAAAAAAAAATAAAAAAAGCTCAAGACGACATCCATTAGGCTAATTTGCCGTGACCGCGACCCCTTCAACTACTATATAGGTGTATATAATATGTAATATTATTATATTATATACTCGTACCTATATATTATTTATTATATATGGTCTACCCCATACGCACGAAAACTATCGAGTCCTGTAAATATTATATTCGCCGAACCCTCCCCGACCGCATATATTTTATATCGACTGCAGCAGCCGTATCGTACTCGAATGTTACAATATATTATAATACCATCTATGGTGGTGCTCGACACAACAGAGTCGAATTCGCACGTGTGTTAAGCGTAAAAACCACCCTTATAATTGCGCGGGAGTTGTGCAAGCAGAGAAGTCGTTACCTATTATAATATGCGAGTTATAATATAATGAGAGTTATTAACAACTGTGAATACCTACCCTTGGTAGTTGACCGAAACATAATTTAATCTGTGTCCGCACAACTACCCATAATACTCAGGAACTACTGTAATTGTGTTATAATACAGCCAAAACGAGAAAAATAACACTTAAAAAGAATTTGAAATGTTTCATTTTAAGTATAGGCACACGTTAATTTTGAAAAACATTGAAAATTATGTTGAACAAAATATGATGCGCTGCTTATGAGTGCTTATAGTTTTTATTATTATTATTATTTTATACAACTAACTAGGTGCTATATAAATGATATACGGCGATATAACATAAATTAAATACAATATATATATAAGGTATTTAATGTTGATATAAAATCCTATTCACGTTATTCATCCACTTTCGTGAAACAAAACGGATTAAAATTTATTGTACAGCGAAGTGTTTAAAGTGGGTTATTTGCCGGGACTTATTTTTTTTATATTTTAAAAACCATATTTAGTCGTTACGCGTTTGAAAACTATTTCTGAAGGGGTTGTTTAATATTCAACGCTCGTTACACGAATATTTCAGCACGAAAGTAATTAATCAGACATCAATTAATAAATAAAAATAATTTTTTAACATTTTAACGACGTTAAATTTTAACATAATATACTATTATAATAATATTATATTATTATAACATAGCTGGTATACACGTAATTGTCGTGAACAAAAACGTGTTTTTTAATCCCGAGACCATTTCACCAAAAGAAATCTCTCGAAGACGTTCATTATTCACGACTTAAAACAACTATTATACTAAACATTTTTATGCTTCGCTCTTTTGTCTCGCCTTTTTTTCCGCCCACGCTTATTATTATTTGTTCCGCGTCGCGTTCTTTATTATTCGTTTGTATTCTCGCGAAGGAGTTCACAATGGGTTTACTCTCGGCGTAATGAACACGGACGGCGGAAGATTCCTTTTAAGTCTAATTATACGAATTTACGTCGAACGTTTATATAGATTTGTTCGCATATATCGGATGTTGTTTTATTTTCGAGCGTCTGTTCGAAATTTGTTTTTATTTCCACACGGACCGGACGATAAAACACGGCGCGGTTGGCGTGCTTTTCAAGCCCCTTAGGAATTCTATTTTGATGGCTCCCTCCCCCCGACACCACCAAAAACGGCAAAAACTTTATAATACCATTTGACGGGTATGGTTATCGTGATATTATAAACCACAAAAATATTATAACATATCGGTATGGTAGCTTACCTCGCGAGAGGTTTTAAACTCCTACATGCGATCGAGTAAAAAGACGTGAGAAAGTGAATGTTCAAGTACACCGTCGCCGTATATATTCTGCGGTATAATCCGTGCGGTTAACCCGTGGTTACCACGCTGTATACCAAATATAGTTTATACAATATTCAACTACTCCGCCGTGTAACTATATAGGTGGTTAGTATTAACAATGTGGTCACGTATTAATTACTATAATAATATACCTAGTGAAATCGTTTATCTTAATAATATTATCAAATTTATTGAGAATAACAAGAAGATTCTGAACAGGCATAATCCACCGCGATAACATGAAATCCAATCCTATTCTATAATATTTTACAAATCAATTACTACTTACCTTCACCATTAATTGTAGTCTGCATCAATACAAAATAATAAAATATAATTACAACACTTGGTCTCAAAAAAAATTAACATACATTTCTGAACTTTCTGATAGCACGGCTCAATTTATCATCGTGACAATGCTACAGTGTGAAATCGCCTCATAATAACATAATACCAACTTAATAACGCGCACAAACGGTCGACCTCGCAAGTGCTCCGAATAAAACTTGGAATAAAATAATATTATGTTCTACGCGACATGTACCTAGGTATCCGCGGTTAGTGGTTACTTAACGATACTAATGTCACTCTCTTTCGACCGTATAATAATAATAATAATATTAAAAAACGTTTGTCTCTTTCTGCTTGCAGAGTATGCGGGAACCGTTAAAAGCGAGTACCCAACGGCCGCCGACGCGCAGGCGCCGCAGTCGGTGGTCGCCGCCATGCCGTCCGCGCGCGAACACCATCATCAGCAACAGCCACCGCCGCTGCCGACGCCGGCCACCGCCACGCCGGTGCTCACCGTACTCCAGTACCAGCGGCCGCGTACTTACACCAGTACGGGAGTGGCCCTGTCGTTGCCGCCCAAGAAGAAGGACATTTACCGGCCCTATTCGCTGGACGATCACAAGCCAATAAAGTGGCCGCGGCCCGAAGAGGACATAAGCGCCGCTCAAGCCATACTCGACCTGAGCGCATCGACGCCAGTGGTCGTTTGCCGGCCGCCGCCACCGCCGCCGCCGCCTCAACAACTGCAACCACCGCCACCGCCGCCAGCCACTCAACAACTTCTGCAACCACTGCCGCCGCCAACTGCTCCTCTCCAACAACTAACACCGCCACAACAACAACAACAACAGCAGCAGCAGCAAGTAGTGCACGTCATACCGGTGGCCGTCAAACAGCAGCCGGCCGAACAACTGCAGCAACTGCGCCCGCCGCCGCCGGCCATCGCGTTGCCGGTTCCGACCTCCGCGGCCACCAGCAAAACGGTCGCGTACACGTACGAGGCGTTTTTCGTCAGTGACGGCCGGTCGAAACGCAAGTCTTCGGCGGCCGCTGCAGCCGCCGCCGCCGCCGCGTCATCTTCGTCGGCCTCGGCGGCCTCGTCGGCGTCCGGCGACGAGTGCGTCGTCGGCGACAAGTCATCCGGCGGCGTGGCGGCCGCCGTCGGCGCCGACTTTAGCGCCACGTCGCCCGGCCGACCGTCCAAGTACACGTGCTCCGAGTGCGGCAAACGGTACGCCACGTCGTCGAACCTGTCCCGGCACAAGCAGACCCACCGCAGCCTGGACTCGCAGTCGGCCAAGCGGTGCAACGTGTGCGGAAAACCGTACGTCAGCATGCCCGCGCTCGCGATGCACCAGCTGACGCACAAACTGACGCATGCGTGCGACGTGTGCGGAAAGATGTTCAGCCGGCCGTGGCTGCTGCAGGGCCATCTCCGGTCGCACACGGGCGAGAAGCCGTACGGGTGCGCGCATTGCGGCAAAGCTTTTGCCGACCGCTCGAACCTGCGCGCGCACATGCAGACCCACTCCGGTGACAAAAACTTTGCTTGCCCGCGGTGCTTCAAGTCGTTCGCTCTAAAGTCATACCTGAACAAGCACCTGGAGTCAGCCTGTCTGCCCGTCGCCACCGCCGCGCCCTCGTCTCCCTCATCACTGACGTCGTCGTCAGTGTCATCGTCGTCGGCGTCGTCGTCGTCGTCGTCGTCTTCGTCGTCTTCGTCGTCGTCGTCGTCGTCATCGTCGTCGGCCGCCGCCGCCACTGCAGCACAGTCACCATCGCACCAACCACATCACCCGCCTGCACACTTGCATCATCACCAACAGCAGCAACACCATCACCATCACACGACTGCCGCCGAAATCACCAATCTCAACTTGTTGCGTCCAACGGTACTGCACACTGCCTGAACCGGCGCGCATGCGTGTCGGAAATCCTGGTCATTATTGTAATTTTTTTTTTTTACCATATTATTTTTATTATTTTCATAACATTATATTATTATCTATTCTGGTCGTACGTCATAGTCAATTTTTTCGGAAATCTTTAAAATCTAGTTCATTTTATTATTAAACGGTTAGGGGTGGGTATACATTATCTTAGTATTATTATATTATTTTCACATACAGACACTAGTCACGAGTTTCTAGTCAATTTCTTTTCCCGCAAATAATATTTATATGTTTATATTATATATACCTATGTATATTTTTTTTTATTTATAGTAACAACATTTCAATTCATAAATTTAATATTCTATCGGTTTAAGTTTTTCTTTTCTTTTCTTTTTTCATTCGCGAAAAGGGGCGTGCAATAGCGTGTTTTGTTTTGTTTCGGCGTTACAAAGTCAATTTTATTTGAATATATTATTACTATTATTATTATTATTATTATTATTATTATTATTATTACTATTTTATTTTTAATCATATCATATTTTTTTTTTCATCAAGCGGACATTATATTTGCATGAAATCTCACATTATTATTATAGCCTCTAAATAGTCTTGAAGTTAAATACAAATGTGCGGTTGGTTCCTAACCTTGCCCAACCCTGTGTACAGTATATAGTAATATTTGCCAGCGGTTGATTAATGCGTATATACATATTATTATTTGTAAGCAATGTGTATTATTTAAACACGTTGAAGTGTGCGGTTTTGTTCTTTTTATATATATATGTTACATTGTATTATAATTTTAATTCTTTTTAATTTTAATTGGATGTATACACGAGTATATGTCAGAGTGTGTGGTCTAGTCATTTAGATTAAGTAGAGTTACCACGGGAGTGGTATGAACTATAATAAAATATATAAGAGAATGCGATCTCAAAAAAAAAATTTAAAAAAATATTGAATGTTAAAAAAAATTAACGTAATTAATTATGTTATACTATATTAATTATAAATAATGTATCTTGTAAATAAAACTTAATAGGCACTAAGTGGTTTTTCGTATAGTTTAATAAATTATTAATACAAGACTAAAATAATATGTGGTAATCATGTGGTCATAATAACAATATGATATAGTCGATGTTGGGAAAACTCCTAGTAAATAATGCATTTACCCGTGTTTTTGTTCGAAGCCCAATATTTGAGATTAGATGGAAGAGATTAGAGTACAAAAACTGAGACACCAAAAATTGTTTTTTCTAGACTAAAATATTAATTATGTTACATAATATAGAATTAAGAAAATTTTAATATAGTGAAAAAGCAATAACGTAACCAACTCGTCTGCTCAATAATGTAATACAATTAGGAACAAAAAGAAAAATGTAAGAACAAAAAAAAAATAAAAAATAACATTAAAAATAATTATTACCTATTAAAATATTATATTTCTTTTGGAATTTCAAATATTATTATATATTACAAATATTTATATTAGACGTACGTTTTCTCTACACGTTAATAAACACTATGATATAATTTATTTCGTTTTTGTTTTCTTCTCTTTCTATAATGTCTCGGTGTATATACATATATATATATATATGTAAACCTTTGTAAACTTTATATTTTTCGTCCAATACCCTTGGACTCTCGTGTAATGTTAAGATGTTTAACGATGATATACTTTTAAGGAAACTCATACATTTAAGTACGTATTCGAAAAGCAATAAAATTGTAGAGGGAGAAACGGGAGCGTGAACGATAACGCCTTCCGGGAGCCTCGTGTAGAGCGTAGAGCAATAATTTTGTGAAACCTATAGCAATATATTATATCATAATATATTATTGTGTATTGTGCATTTGTATTCATTTATTTATTTATTATATTATTTTTTTCATTTTCATTTCGTTTCTTATTTAGAGTTGGACGGCGGTAGTAGGAAACTATTTTAATATAGTAGTATTATTACGGCTCGGAAGTGTATATTATATTATTAGGACGACCGGGAGCCGCATCCTCCGTTTTGTTTATTTATTTTGAATTTTTTAAATTTATCGAAATAATTTTTTTTTGTACTTTTTTTAAATTATTATTACTATAATGATATGTTTTCATATTATATATATTGTACACCTATATATTATATTTATATATACGTGCGGCGGTGGTAGAGATCTTAATATTACTATTATAACACTGTTGCAGCGCATTATTATAGTATAGGTATATATATACAGCCGCGGCGCGTATTATAATAATAATAATGATATTTTTGAACGCCGTTTTTTCAATGATCAAAAATAAATACTGTTTAAAAAACACATAGTGGCCTTGATGAATTTGTTTTTACAACGACAACGTACCCGAAAATATAAAATATACAATAAACATACATAGAGAGAGAGAGAGAGAGAGAGAGAGAGAGAGAGAATCATATTGTATTTTGCAGGACGATTAATGTGAGACCGGAACAGGCGTATATCCCAACACCCGTAGAGGGTAATTTTTAATAAACACGTAATTAAATCGACGGAATCATCACGGTCCACAAACAATATTGTTGTCGATATTCGGACGCATAACAACAATAAATAAATAATAATAATATGTAAAGTATTAATACGATATTGTAGCGGTGCCTAAGTTCGTCTATGTGCAGACAACGTTTTCCTGGTGACGACTTATTATTATAATAATATATAAACAAAATGTTTTATTATCATATTATTGTACTCGGCAAATATGTTTAACTTTTTTTTCAATGTGATCGCGATTTTTAGGTTTACGATATGATAATGTGACGTGATTGAAAATTATAAGATCACCACTGTGTGGTAAATAATAATCGGCAAAGCAAAAATATTCCTATGATATATTTTATTTTAGGCGTTAATAAGTCGTTTTTTTATTGGTTTTTTTTTTTCAAATGGGTAGTCCAACTTAGAGTGTACAAAAACAATTAATTATAAATTTAAAGACGTTTGAAAATTGTTATAAACTCACGATTGAATATTTTAAGCTTAAAAAAAATTAACAAAAACCATTAGCCGAATATAATATTATATATATTATATTACATTCAAGATCGAAACGCAGTAGTTTTGCTCAATAATTATTATTATTATTATTACGTACGTGTAGAGTTTGTATAACGAAAATATTTTAAACAGATTATATTATATTATGATTGTCCGTGTCGTATTTGTTTGGGGAAAATTATAAATTATTATTGTCATAGATTTAACGATGAAATTACAATTTATTTATTTATTTGTTTAGTGATTATATTATTATTATATTATATTAAAACTAGAGGCAGCGAACATTTTTCGCATACCTATATTTTATTTCGTAGTGTTACGTTCTCAACAATATATAATATTATTATTATTATTGTATATTTTCATAAATAAAATTATTAAATAGTTGAAAAAAATAAAACCGGTGTTCGATTATTTTATACAATACACCTGATTACTTACCTATAATATTATCATGGTAAACGGTTCCAATTTTCACAGGTTCTTGAGTTGTTAAAATGCTAATGCGCGCGACCGTGTATGCCTATCACGACGTGACGATACAGCTGCAGCAAAGACTGCGCGTATCACTACAATATCTATTTATACTTACCGCGCGGTCCATAATCAACATCGACCACGGTCTTACCGCGGTATGAGCACGAACGGATCGCGGTCCTCGCTTTTGAAAGCTACCGCCGAATTCCGACATCGTCTACCACGACCGCCGTCGTCATCAGTACCTACGGCGGCCGCGGCGTAATAACAATAGCAGATATTGTAATATTATTATCTTTTTCCTCGTTTCGACAAGTTTTACTATACATCCAGGCTGCAGCGACCGAGTAATACAATGGCTGCTGCAAGGTAAGGACGTATGTTATAAAATAATATGAAACCATTGAACGTTACGCTAGCGTTATAAAAATCGAATATACCTATATATGCATTACTCTCACGGGCGTCCCCGGGAGAGAGCATGATGGGGCACTTGCCCCCCCCCCTTGAAATTTAAAATCTGTTTGCCCTTTGCACAGACATGATATTATTAACCATGTCCGTTGTCCTATGCCGCCTCCCCCCCCCCCCTAGAAAAATGTCTATAATGTGTCAATAAATCACACCGACATGTACCTATATATGAGTTGGGCGGCAGCTAGGCAGGTCACACACTCGTCGTACCACTGCGGGTAGGTCGTAGATAGGTATTATATAATACTATTATTTATTTTTATAGTGTGCAGTGTATCGTTTATGCTCCGTAATAGCAATAGAATTTGATCGTACTAACGCGACGTCAGAAGACTTATACATATTATTATTATTATACACCGCGGTCGTAATTTATATATATATATATATATATTATGCGCACTGTAGGTACAATGTATATTATAACGTTCGCGTGCATTTTCCGGGGCGGAAACCTGCAACTGCCGCAATGGGGAAGAAAAAAAAATAAAACTTGTGGAGTCAGCTTTATATGTATTATATATACGGAACGATATATACGACGTCTGTGGTGGAGCGGGTGGGGGGGAGGCAATGCGAGGTGAGCCGAGCGGGCCGGCGGTTATTTGCGTTGATGGCGGACCAACCCGACCAAGGGGAAAGGGTAGTTTTCACCCCCCCGCACAGAATATATATATATATGTGTGTGTGTGAGTATAGTATACGTGCCTTGGCGCATATACACAAATACATATATATATATATATATATATATAGCTGCTTTGGCCTTTAGACGGTATATCCGATATAAACCTCTCGAAACTATGTATATATATGCGTATACGCGCGAGTCGTCTGCCCCGCATGCCCCGCGCCGCACTCGGCCAAGTGGTTTTCAGCGCAGACCTCTTCTCCTTTTTAATTGTGCCGCCGTCGCCGCCGCGCCGCAGTGGTACCGCAACGTGCGCGTCGCCGTGACCGGACGAGAATATTGTTATATTATTATTATTATTATTATTATTATTATTATTATTATCTACCTAGCTGGTACATTATATTAATGTTACAATGCATGTACGCGGTGGTGACCTAGTGTGGTGCCTTTCGAGAACTTTTTTTTCCTTTTCAGCACACGCTGCGTACATTACAGTATATACCTATATCATTGTACATAATATTATATAGGTATTATATTATGTATACATGTATGATGCTACACTGCTATGAATTACGATATAAGGTCGACCTGAATATTCCACTGCGTCTATAATAGCGGTTTCCGACGTGAAATATAATATTTCACGTGTTCGATCCGTAGAAAATAGTGAACAATACCTACAATTGTATAATATATTATACGTAATATAGGTATACGGTATATTCTTATCGTATCGATATCTTGATCATTTTCGTTTTATCGAACTAAATTCAATTACCCTTGAATTACCATTACACTAAAGTATAATATACTAGGTACCTATACTGGCTATACTATTTACATAAAATTCGATACCTCGAACTTTTTCCTGTTCCCCTTGAAATTGGGATTCGTCATAAAGAAAGTCTAGTATACATATATTTACTTATTTTTTTATTCGACCCAAAACCTGTTGTAGACTAATAATATAAGTTGGTAAAATCTTATAAGATTCATTTTAAACCGATTTGATCCTATAATTGTTCACTTCCGGAAGACAACACTCATAATTTTATTTTTGTATTTAATCGATTTCAATAATTAGTTGATGTTACCTATCTTATGCTATATATTGATAGAGCTATCTAGTATCTACACATTTGTTTATATTGTTTATTAATTTCTTGACAATTCGTCATAGTATGGTATTTACTGTTTTCAATAAATTAGTTATATGCTCGTTATGTGCGTATTCGCAATTAGGTTAGGTAATATTATATTTTTTCAAAATTAATAATTTAGGTGAATGTAGACAAATTATTTTAAGTGATGAAATTTGTTTT